CGAGACGCTCGCGGAACGAGCCGCGCAGTGAGCCGAGGGCAGCCCAGCACGCTGCCGCTTCCAACAGATGTAGGTGCCACACTAGCTTAGCTGTTTCCAGCAGCCTACACTGCTGAACAACAACTATTCCAGCAGAATAATCATGTTGCTGTCAACTATCACTACGCACAGAGCCGTCGCTCTCCACAGGAGAGAGCGCAGGGGCAAGAGACGGGATCTCCTGCTCGGGGCTTTTCCGCCTCGTTCTGAACACGGAGCGAGGAGAACACACAGTCCACGCTCCTCTTTCAAAGGCTGATAAAAACCCACAGAGGGGCTGAGCTTTTTGCACTCTTCTGCATCCTTGCTGATCCTGTATTTGCCAATGCAAACATAAAACTACTGTATTGTGGCAAATTAAAACAAGAGCCCAGACAAGGCACCACATTGTTTAATACTGAACCCAAGAGAGCGAACTGAACAAGCTATAGTGGTTGTTTACAGAGACAGCCCTACTCCTCTCTTCCCACTGCCCGTAGATCCCAGTGAGAATGGTTCAGTTTTCTTTTGAATTGGATGAGGCAGCTTGTTTCACACCAAGAGCTTTAAAGGTCTAGGAAACAACAATAGTCTGAAGGATTACGTGACTGAAAAAGCCCACAAGTTATTTAACAGTGGACTTCAAACACATTCTGATTTGAAACAGGACTAAAATCTTGATTGCTCAGTGTATTCCATCACCAGGCATTCATGGTGCTAGCAGATATTCTAGCCAGGATTCCCCCGGAGCACCACTTAGACCTATTTGTGAGGAATTAAAAGCAACAACAAAACAGATGATTTCAGAGTCTAAACTCTGAATCACCTCCACCAGTCATGTGCGAGCAAAAGATTAAACCATTAGTTATGGTCATCTGAAATAACTGTTTCATCTGAAACAGCAAATATGCCCAAAAGACCATTTTCTGAAACCATTTTGGTGTTTTACCAATTTATCAAGGACCACGGAGTGCTGTGCAGACACATTTTGTCAAGATCTCTCCTTTCCTTTCCAAACACACTAACTGATGACAAGGTTTCCATCCAAAAGGTCCACAGAACACACTGGGCTCTGAACACTACCACACAAGACCCAAACCAGCAGTCTAGTATTCCCTATATAACATTCCACTGAAACAGACTGGGTTGAACAGGTGACTTGGGAGTATGTCCGAGATGCCACCTGGGTACCTGAAGAGAGCCCAGGTTATGCCCAAGGGCTTTGTGTTTCCTGCACTAGGTCAGGCGTGCAAGGGCAGAGACAGTTGCACAAGCAGTGCCTGGGGAAGGCTGTGTTTCCCCTCCACAGTCTACCACACTATCCTCCTCTGATTGATAAAAAGCACGTTTTGCAGTAAAACAAGCCATATTAGTCCACGTACGAAATAATGCACTTTGTGGCATTGTACAGACTTTTAAAAGGCTCTATCTGCAACACAGAGCAGTTTCAGGGTTGGATATCTCTGTGAAAGCAAATAAAGTAATAATAATAGTATTAAATATAAGTCATAGCACCTTTGGCATTTTTGTCCAAATAGACTTCAACATATGACGTAGGGACATAGCCCTCCTCATCTTCATTCCTTCGGATTCGTGTCCACCCGTCACCTTTGTCTTCTTCTATTACATACAGCATTTCTCCTTCTGCTACAGAAATTGTTCCTTCATTCTGACCTGAAAGACACAGTCACAGGGAGTTGAGACCATCCTGGACAATGGGAACCACAGATGCAATGGGGGGTGCTCAGGGCACGCTGACGACGTGCTGATGCAAACCTCGTTGCATCACTAGCCATGAGAACAAGAGCACGTTATTCTGGAGACAAGTGTGTACACAAAGAACCAATGAATATGATCCTGACATCAGTCTTGGTTTCTTTCCTCGTAGAGTCCCTGCATAACAGGAGACAATCACTGCCTTAGTGCCTCTGCACAACACAGCATCATGCAAGAGCCTCCCTTGCCCTTTCTTTGTCTATTTAAGCACTGCAGGGGTTAAATGAAGGTTTCCCAACTTGTACTGGGCATACAGCAAAAGAAAACAGTAAGGGAATTCAGAGTAAAGTTTGAGTGATACCTTCAAATGTATAGAGTGCTTTGCATGTTCCTATGGTGGGTAGTGGTTCTTCATCGTCAAATTCATCATCAAAATCCGTTGCAGGTACTTTCATCTCAGTCTCCTGACTCTGCTCTTCTGTGTAACTGCCATCCGGGCTGCTCAAGAGAGGAAAATACACAGCAACTATAGCAACCAGTCTCTGGAGCAAGGAGAATAACCTGGTGACCAGATACTTGACAGCTATCACAACGTGATGGGTGAGACCAGCCATTTTTCCTATCAAAAGTAAAGAACCACACCAGCCTCACTCCCCTTCACAGCACTGCCTGTGGGGCTATTTCACATTTCATCATATTTGGAAACGTAGCTCTTCAAGCTGGGATCGTGTGCCTACATCTGCATTTATCTTGCGTGTCCAATCAGCGTGCCAAACGCTTCAGAGTGCCTGCGTGTAGTCTGGATACAGGGCAAGTTTCTGAGCACTGCAGAGCTAGTTTCCCTGACTAACAGGCCAGGGAAAGCATGGCCAGCCCCCAGGCTGAGGGGCAGCTCTCTCCAGATACTGTACCTCTCGCGGTCCTGCGCGCAGCTGTTCACCGTGGGCGCGTTCTGGGCGTCGTAGAGGCCGCTCTGCCGCCGGGCCTGCTCGGGCCGCGTGGGCAACCTGCCCTCCACCTCTGCCAGCCAGCCCTGCAAGAGAGACAGTCACGCACCTCTCGCCGGGGACGTGTGGTGCTTTTACTCGGCTGTGTCACCCTGACATCCAGACGATGGCACTAAAACTGTGGTAAGCATATTTAAATCTTCCTCTGGTTGCAGTTGTCAAGGAGAAAAGAATCTCTACCTCAAGTGTGTATTGAATCTTTCTGGCCCAAAAACACACCCAGTGGAAACTCGGTTCTTTTTTGACACTGCCTGCCAAGAACACTGTGATGCAGGAGAAGAGTTCACAGCAGCTGTTGGGAGATGCTGCTCTAGCCACAAACAAGCAAGAAGATGCGTGGAGCTTACAGCAGTCTCACCAGCACCAGAAACACAGGAAGCTCTGAGACTGCACAACAACTTGAGCTGGGGAGAACGAAACAACCCACTCATTTTCAAATGCATAGCAAAGCCAAAAACTGTAAGAATCATCTAAAATTAACAGGCTATATCTTTTTATGTACATATAATTTACAGAGTGAAGTCTTTTCTCAGCCCTATAATCCTTCTCGTGCAATTTAAACAGCTTCATACATCCCAAAAACTCCTTATTCTCTTGAGATTTTTTATCTCTAAGAAGCCTCCTGTTAATGGCTGACTATTCCTTAAAATATATTTCTTCTGTCTTGCTGTTAAGACCATAAATGGTGCTTTGCATTTATGTTCCTCTGATTTCTACAGACACTTGTAACACGATGCTTCAAATTAGTCAATTAATTAAGCATCTGAACCCCTCTGGGCAGTCCAGAGAGCTCTACATTTTCTCTTATCCTCCACTTAGCAGAATTTGTTCTCTGTGGCAAACTAAAGAACAGGACTGCTGGCTGATACAAGAGATGGTGCATGTTTATGTTACATAAACAGGCTCAAAGATCTCAATTAATACAAGTGCTTAAGTAGCACTTACCTATACATGGTAGGAAAATGCACCAATACATCTGGAAAAGCAATGAAGCACCTGCTTAGAACTGAGTATATGCTCAGCTGCTTTTTATGGAAATGTCTCTTCCCATACCTCAAACTTCTGAACTTCTAATCGTAACTTCTCAATGTTCTGTCCAAGTTCTGCTAATCTCTGGTCCACGCTGGCTGCATCTCCCATCTGTGGATTCTTGATATACACATCTTTCATTTTCGTTAAGGCATCTCTGAGGGACAAAAGAAAAATAAAGCATGTAAGTGTCAGTGTGGCTGGGGGCAAATGCCTTTCTCTAAATGAGAGCAAACTAAAGGATAATGAACTGCCAGTACAGAAGCCAAACTCTTCAAGCCCCAACATTAAACGCAGCTCCTCACTCCACAGGCATCTGAGGGCTCTTTATGTGAGCAGGGCTGGCAGGAGGAGCCTCACCAGAGGATCATGAGGCTACACCAGAGATGTGCTGTCAGTACACACACGGCACGTTTAGACCAAATGATTCAAGCTCCATGTGCCCCACTTGAGGAATCCTAGCAGAAAAAACAACCAAATTCTTGGACAGTGGCCTTTTGCAAAGCATAAGGAGGAATTTGGTACTGACTTCTAGTCTGACATATTCTTTTATTTAGTATTTGCTAACCCTGGGCGGGGGGGAATAAAAAAAAAAATCTCACAACCATTGCAACAACTGCCAGCTTCAACTTTTGAGATGAACATCATCCCAGTATTGGGGGCACAGACAAACAGTTGCATCATTATCCATCATGGGCTGAAATTCAGTTGAGAAACTAGGACAAAGAGCTGGACCTGGATATATTAATAATAAAAATCAAGTGCTAACCAGAAATTCTCACCCTGCCTGTTGCAGTTTGTCTTTTGGAACACAAGTAATTTTTAATATATTTATTTCACACCACAAAGCTAAATCCAGATGGTTTGCATTTGTCACAGCACAGTGACAGATGGACCTTAGATCACATCACGTGCCCTTCCATCCTGGTGAGTTATACAGCATTTTCACTACACTCTTCTGGGGGCTGTGTTTCCTATCAGCTCAGATGCCAAGTGCCCAGAGTTTCAGAGATGCTAATTTCAGGGCCTGCTATGATGAATGTGGTATCACAAGGCCAAGACTAACACAGCACATGCCTCCAGGAGCTCCCTCAGCAAAGCCTACAGAGCTCTCACAGACAGCAGCGTGCTGCCTTTGACCCGAGTCGAGCTGAGGCTGAACTTACAGAGAGAGAAAAAAAAACCCTCCACAATTTATCTGCATGATGATGAACATTTCAGAGCTTAGAGAAGGGTGGACTTAGAAGTTGATTTCCTGTATTACTGGCACAGCTATTCAGCTTTCCTCTAGGCATTAGCTGGGGGGAGAAAGGTTAATGCGAGTCCCACGACTCAAGTTAACACTCTTTATAGTTTAGAGTTTCCCACCAAACTCTTGACAATTGCAATCCTGTGCCTGCCTTTGCTTTGTGTGGATAGAAAATGGGAAAAAGTGTGGGTGGTAAGGAAGTGGGACTGCTCTGTGGTTAAAGCACTAAGGGACAATATTGCAAACACATGAGTCATGATTATTAGTATTTTTTTAACTCTTATTTAACTACTGGTGCTACTTCCTCAATCATATACTATCTTTATTTAAAATAACTTAATTCTGCTCTGACTTCATATCCAATTTTAACATTGGGTTATATCAGAATCAATACAGAGCAAAAAGGAAAATCTGTACAGAGATAAATGTAAAATGCCACAGAGGACAAAAACAAGTCAATGAGAAATCATACAACCATTTGTAGTCTTCCTTTCTTACTCATGATATACAGAAGAAAGTTTCTGTTACTAGAGAAAATAAAACAAGTTCTTTAAAGCAAGCTGGCAGAAAATGCAGACACATGTATACAAACACAAAGCAGTGTTTTGGAATAGAGTAATACCAGAGAGGATAAGTCCTAAAATCATTCAGTGAAGTCCTGTCTCTTGCAAACAGAACATGCCAAATCTTTAATGCAGCTGCAGAATGTGAACAAACACTAAGCAACACATACAGGTTGCCAGAAGCAATAGAAAAAACTGTAACTAAAATAGCCTTATTCTCACTCAGAATGATAAATCCAGCCTTGTAGAAAAAACATCCACAAAAAGCAGAAGAGTCATTATCTTTCTGCTTCCAGGAAATATAAACTACAAATCAGAGCGTCTTAAGGTGAGTGCCAATCAATCAGCACTTCTGACCATGTCAACAAGCCCTTAACAGTCCCTCCCTGTTGGGATCTGCCCATGCCCATCACTCTGACTTGGGCTCTATCTGCACCTTATTCTTTTCCAAAGAACAGCCTCAAGAACAGCTCACATCAAGAAACAAACTTAGTGCAGCTAATAGTAACCTTTGTCTGGCTTTCTGGTGTTGCTTTCTGGAGCTTTTGCAGGAGAGCGGTGAAAGAAGATGAAACTGTCTCCAGCTGCTACACTTAGATCATTCCCATTCTTACACTAGAATCTGCTGTTCTCACTGTTCCAAAGGCAGGACATGCATTACATGGAAGTGGGAAAATGGAACAGACAAAGCCAGCTTTTGCCCCAGCTCTGATCTACATCAGCCAAAATGAAGTAACTGATTTCAGAGCCTGAGTTTTAGAGAACCTTGCATCTCTCACGTAGTTTTGGTCATATGTAAACTCCATTTCTTCTTTTGTTGGAACAGCACAATAAACCAACCTAGAACCTTGCCTTATTTGCCCTTTCTTATATTTATTTCTGTTCTATATAAGACTACTGATTTCATTTTTCATTGGAGAGGCTTGACATACCTCTGATCCATCTCCTTCTGAATGTCTCTGTTTAGTTCATCGACTTTCTGCTGAAGTTTCTTTCTTCTCTGCTCAGGTGGGAGATTGCTGAAGTCTTCTGGCCCTGCTCCCTGCACAGAGCAGAAGGAAGAGGGGTAAAAAAAAATGAAGAAAAAAAAATCAGAGCCTGAAAGAATCCTTCAAGATTGCATTTTGAAAACAGCTCACAAAAAGTCTGTGCAAAAATCACAGTGGTCTGAAGCATTGTTATCATTTGCACTGAGAGTTATCAGTCCCCAAATGGTCAGGAATCTGGATGCCTTAGATACCATCCCAGGACCACATCCTGCTTCCATACCAAATGGCTATGGGAGATCACCAACTAAAGAATGCCAGAATTCAATGGCAAAGCTGAGAAATTATTTTTATCTGTAGTTACCAGATTTTATCTAACAGAGTTCCATTCTCATGGAGAGTTGATTCTTCCTGCCTTCCTCTGCTACACACGACACCCCCATAAAATCAGTTACTAGCTTCTGCTCATGTCAGTCACACTTCCAATGTACTCTACTAATTGCTGGCTTGCTCTGCACATTCTCAGTGTTGGTCCAATACAGTTAATATAGGGCTCTCCTGAATTCACTAAGGTAACAGTAGTACTTCCTCTGGGATCCTACAATTTAAAAACACGTGGCATGCTTTCCAGGATCCACATTCCATGTCAAACTCTCTCAGTTTTTCCTCTCTCACTTGTACTAGCATTAAAAAAAAAAAAAAAAAAAATCAGGAGTTATATCAAAGCTATAGAATCAATCCATCTTCAATCATAACTGAGGAAAACACTTGAAGACCTCAGTGGTGTTACCTTTGTGTGATTCTGCTTGAAAGGCCCTTTTCTGCCTTGAAACTGCTTATGCCTCTTCTCCATTGCCTCAATTTCATACAGCAGATAAATGACACGTAAAATACATCCATACTGTTTTCTTCAAGTTACCACCTATTTTTGTCTTGCAGGCAGGCAAGGGGAACAGTTTGGGTGGGCTACACCAAACACACATTAATACTAATTAGTTGGATCATAAAGGAATGAGGTTCTTGTACATAATCTTGAATTCGTACTGGTTTTTCTTGTTTCGGCTTCTGCTCACTCCATGTCCCATTTCTAAAGGGAAGTATCAGAGTATGGGAGAAAAAAGGGTAAAAACACAAAGCTGAGGAGCCAAATTCAATGGCCCATCAGCTTACTGAAAGCTTGTGAGCAGAGCTACAGTATTAGTCTTACTAAAATGTCAAATCTCTCTCTGAAGAGTGGGATTTAGCGGACACTGCCACAAAAGCTGCCTGTTGGACCTTGCAAGTCGCTCTGGCACAGTGTGCTCTTTCTTCTGCAACTGCAGAACATGCTGTTTAAAGTGTGTGGGTGTCAGAGGGATGGAGGACAACTCCAGACAGGTCACCTTCTCCCCTGGTCTAGCCACTGCAAAATACCAGAACAGTCAAACCTAGTGACATTGCTGCCATACTGATTTTTCAGTAAAAGATGGCACATGTATCTAGTTATGCCTGGATCATCTGTGTAGTAATACACTTAAAATTCCATTTCATGAGACAATGAGAAAGCAAATTTAAGACAAATGAAGAAAGCAACTAAAGTACACCCATTCTGAAACTTAACCACATGAAGTCCTAGTTGTGCTCACATTATTTGTTGTGCATGGTACAGAAGAGATCTATTTGTATTCATTCTTTAATGATAATATTCTGCTTGATAGTAACTCCCATGTCACAGTAGTGATTCAAAACATTTTATGGATAATCTATACACTGAAGCCAAACTTATCTTTTTAAGACAAAGCATCTGTAGGTAGCTTTGTAAATAAACAAGTAGTTACAAGAAAGACTAACATCACACTCTTCTTGGTTCTAAGCAGAAGAGACAGAGATGCTTGAGAATATCCCTGGTCATACATTAGGATAATGTAATAGATGTAGTCAAATTTGGAAAGCCATTATCTTTCTGATTCTTTTACTTCATTCAAAAGCTCTAGGCTGGACTAAATTCAGTATGTTTTTTCACAATGCTTCAGACCAAAGCATTAGTGTTGCATAGAAATGCATGCCTGAGACTAAGAGGTGATCTCACTCAGACTTTATTCCATGCTCAGTAATTTCCCATCATAACAGAAGCTACAGTTCCTCCTCCAAAAGGGTCGGGGAGCAATGTTTGCACATGCTGGGGACATCTCACTCAAACTAAACCACACCTGGGCTATATTTTTAGTCACCATTGCCTACATTTTTAAAAAAGCTTTAACAGTGAGGTGGGGGGAAATACATGTTATTTTTGATGTGCTATCACAGGACCAATGCTCACTGGGTTTCAGAGGTTTATCAGCCCAGATTTGGCTCTTGTACATCTAGGATCTGAGAGGAAATTCTAAACAAGCGGATTTCCTCCCCTTGAGGTGCATGCAGGACTCAGCCCTCTCTGCACGTCTTTCTGATTTGTGCAATTCTTAGGGAAAGGCCAGGTCACCATTTATTTTGGGAGGATTTATTCCTACATACAAAGGCTTGGCTCAGCTAAGCAACACACTAGCAGTGTGACCAGCTGAACAACAAATGGAAATCCCTGGTATAAACATGTTGGACTACTAGGACAGTGGCTTGACAACAGCCAGAAGAACAAGGCTTGGCAATAAGCTAGACACTTATCATTCCTCAGAGCTACCACAGGTCTTCAGTGAGAAGCAGTATTGCTAATGGAGTTCAGGCAAGTCATTGTGTTGACAGAGCAGGACCTGGCATCTCCAGAGCTACAGCAGGTAGCTGTTGTGGCCTGCGCATTTCCTCCAAATAAGCTGCTATGAACAGAACAGGTCCACAGTGACATAGCCCAAGAACATGTGTAGGTAAAAGAGCACTTAAAGCACAAACTGGCGAGGAATGAGAAGACTCTCAAGCTAATGCAGCTGAGGCAGTACTGCCAATCCTCTGAAGCTCCCAGACACTGCTGTCAGTTATTTGTGGCTCTTTGATGCTGGCACAAAGTGGGTCAGCAAACCCGTCGCATCCTGCTTGTGACTGGACTCTCAAAGGGCAAAGGAATGGAGACAATATGTCAGGAGCATACCAAGGTGTGGACTATCTCAAGAAATACTGTACCTTGTGCATGAGTTCAGCACAATTTCCTCTCCCAAATCTGTCCACCCCTTCCCTGTAACACCTTACCGTAGTTCAAGAAACTTTCCCAGCTGCATCCAAGGTGGAATTTAGGATTCATATTATATGTATATCTCTCCATTTGCAAATTCAAATCAGATCGAGTTAACCTTGTTGGTTAAGGTTCACAGAACTTTAATTAATATCATTATTAGTTATTCTGAAGGACTACATAGGGCTGTAAAATGTAGGTGATAATGATGTGTATTTCCAGTAATACCTGGACATGGAAAGCAAACTTTGCAGCTATGTTACACAAAACGATTCATTTGTCTCTGGAGAAGGTCCAGCAACCACAGAGACCTTTATTATTTTTCCCCTTGAAGTGTTTTAATGTGTATTTATGAAGTAGCAGAATTACTTGATACTGTTTTTCTACATTTTCATAGCCCTAGATTATAAAAGTAAAAACTAAACTACATATTAGAGTTAATTTTTTAGCAGCTTATTAGAAAGACTGAATTCCGATCACCTCTATTAGACTCCAGACCTGTGTATTCAGAGTTATCTGATAAATATCAAAAAAAGCAAACAAAGAAGAAACAAATTTAACAGTTAATTTCAGTGTCATGTCACATGTGGCACAGTGCACATTAACACACAGAAAATTGTGATTAAAATACAGGACAGGCATGCTGTAAATGTGCTTACCAGCTTGAGAGAAAGCTTCATGTAAAAATTGGAGAGATACAGGGTGGGGGGAGAAAGAAAAAACAACAGTGCATCAGTAGAAAAGGAACTTTTTCAGCCTGATGTTACAATAAAATGACACATAATCCCCTTGCTGTTGGAAGGCAAAATGGGTAACACTAACAGATCTGTGCAAAAGTTCACAAGATGGACCAGCGTTATCAGTCAGCTGCCGTGTCCTCACCAGAAATGGAGAAGTGTTGCACTGCCTGTGAAAATCTGGCCTCAGTTGCCTTATTTCCAGCAGCTACAACAACAGTGCTTTTTTCTCATTATGGCAACGTCTCTGAAGTACAAAAAAACCCCTTACAAGTTGCTAATGGATGAAAGTCATAGATGAAAAACGTGCTGAAATGCACCATGAGCATCAGCCACTTCAGGGCTCAAGAGAAGTGGGGTAAGACCCGGCCAACACGGAGTGCAGGGGCAAGGCACAGCACACGGCCTCCAGCAGCACAAAGCACAACAGGTTCTCCAGAGCTCTCCAGTGATTTCCCAGCTCTCAGGCCAGTGTCCAAAGGACAACATCCCTGCAACACCCCTGCTGATGGCGTACAGAGCTGTCTGTGCAGTCACGTAGTCATTCCACGTTCTTCAAGAATTCAAAAACAAATAGTCTCAAACGTACTTTGGCCATAGAGTCAGACAAGGGCAGGCCCAAGAACAGGGGGGGAGGGAAAAAAAAAAATCTCTTCTCTTTAGACCATATTGATTCCATGACAGCATGGCAAGACATTATTCGAGCTCCTTAAGCGATATACATGATCTAATTCTTCACAGGTTACCACACTTCCTGGTACAGAGCCAAACCATTATCTTTTAGTTACTCTGGAAAAGTAACTAAAACACAGTGTATGCTCACAGAGCCTGCACAGCAGCCTGGTTTGCCCCTGCACTCCACCTCTTGCACATCCAGCTCTCAGCAGTGCTGGAGGGTCTCAGGAGCTGCCAGGTGAACAAATCCATCCAGGCAGCCAGCCACCAAAATGACCAAAGCCTCTTCCAGTTCTGCAAGACTTCAGGACAGCTGCAGTTCAGGTGGTTTCCTGAGAGACAGGGAGACTAACAGTGCTCCAGTGCTTTTCTGTTCTGTGCCATGGAGCACAAGTTAGTTGCTGTTCAAGATATTAAACTACACTTTAAAGGGGGAATCAAACTACAGCCAGGCTCCTCCAGCAGCCTGCTCTGTGCCTGTCCTACCAGCTCTCTGGGGACAGCTGTAAAATGCTCATACTACACACTGAACTCGTAGGTGCAGAAATGCACATCCTCAGTCTTAAAGGGAGCTGAAACATGGAAGTTGGAAAATGCCTCTGACTCCCAGCAATGTTCCGCTCTGTGACACCTGGAGCCTCTTTCCACTTGAGAGTTCTCCATTATTTAACTACCAACAGCTCCCGGGTATGGTGCTCTCAAATAGATGCTCCATTTTTAACAAAAGCACAGTTTTATAGGATTGGATTTAAATTAAAGGTGGCTCCACCTCTGTGATGTTTCTGACAAGACGGTTTAAGAAATACAAATTTTTCAAAAATAACCATTACCAGTAGTTACCAGGATTTGTGCAGCAATATATGCCAACTGCTCATATATGAAAATGTGTGGCCTTGAAATAAATAATGAAATACTCCATGTGAACTGATGCTTTCAGTGACAACACAGCAATTAAACTTCCCTCTGAAGTTCAGTCCATTAGGAAGTAAACAAATGATAATAATCACAGCGCAAGGAAGAAATTCACTCTCTCAGCTAAGAGGCCATTAAAAAAAAGCAAACAAACCGAATCCATCTGAGAGAATAATCACACAGGAAGGAGAAAGAATGAGCTAAAAAACGCTGCTGAAGACTCGGCGTAGGCAGCTTTTGTTTGCAATATTGTTTTAGAGCTCCTGTGAACTTTAGCATAGACATGATCAGCACAAACTGAGATCCTTGTACGTGTATACAGACAAGACTCATGGTGCAGAATAAATATTTACCTATGAAGCAGTCTATAAAAGGCACAAATGTGTATGCTACATGCGCTAGTTTCTAAACACTACTCACTCTAAAGGCACTACACTACAGCGAAGAATCATCTGCATCAAGACTATTCTTTTGCTGTAAATTCAGCAAATTTGAAAGGGATTATAGACACTGTTGCCGAATTCTTATGCTGTTAAGTATGACAAAAATAGAGAACTTATTAATAGCATTTCCAAATAATACATCACAGATTGTTATAACCAGTACAAATAACAAAGCAAATAATAGACTGGAAACAATGAAATGCTGAAATAAGTCATATTCACAGTTTTCCATTTCTGAAATGTATTCATAATTTTACATGAAAGCAATTCAGTTTCTATAAACAAAAATAAGCAGACTGAAAATAAATCTGCATTAAACACTAAGTCTACTCAAACACTTTCGTCTATTTTGTTGAGCTTTCACAGCTAGAAACTTGCTCACCACTCCCGGGAGAACAGGGGCATTTCCCCCCTCCTAAATGATCAAATAGATTACATTGCTTCAAAACGAGCAAATCTGTTTCAAGCTGTCAATTTAAAATCAGTCTAGCAGGGAAGAAATGAACAGCCTAAGAGCCACAAGCTTCAATAACACATGAGAGAGCATGAAAGCCAGCAAGTCCATGTGTTATTGGACAGTCACGGCCACTAACCTCACTTACAGAAAACAGGGTTGAAATAAATCATTGGACTTCCATACAGCCAAGAGGTAATTTTCTTTCTTAGTGGTCCTGTAAACAATTTCCCCATATTCTGCTTTATCCATGCATCAGATTTAGAGATCATATATCTTGATTCCATGAACTATCACAATTACAGAGTTCAAGGAAGCGTCAGAAAGCTCCATGGAGTGAGTGCTTCACAGCCAAGGCACAGAACATGCCTCTGCACTGCAGTAAATCAGGGGCTGGGTCACGATGCTCGAGACTGCATTCATAAAACAATTTAGAATAAATGCATGGAACCTGTTCGTAATACTCACTCTGAATTTCAGTTCCAGCTGCTTTAATTGTGCCAATTTCAGCATTTCCAGGACTAGCAGACAGATCTTTCTTGCACATAGCACAGCAAGCTGCAACTTGCCTCCCACCAAATTTTCCTTTTCTGGTTTACAAAGCACATTTCCACAGCACACTAACTGCGTTGTAAGTGGGGTTAGCGACTGTGCAGCGACGGTATGGGCTGATCACACCATACGCGGACTTACAACATATTCCCTAGCCTCAATGGCACACGTGGGTGTCCCTAAAGTCCTCTTCATGAGTTCTTTGTGACTATACAAAGACTGTGTCTGCTGGTGAGTCAGCAAGAGAAAACAAATCCGTTATGGTGGAGACAAGCACGGCACCTCTGTGTTTACTGCTTCTACAGCAAAAGACAGCTTGGCGTTTAACTAGCCTTTAAGTGCAAAGTGGAAGCTTCCCAGAAACTAGGTGAATTAATAGTAAGAGTTTAGCATTCTCAAAAATCAGAACATTTTATATTTTTAAATGCTAGCTTACACGCGCAAGGTCAGAAAACATACTCCCTCTTGGTGCTAGAATAGACTGTGTCTGCTGGTGAGTCAGCAAGAGAAAACAAATCCGTTATGGTGGAGACAAGCACGGCACCTCTGTGTTTACTGCTTCTACAGCAAAAGACAGCTTGGCGTTTAACTAGCCTTTAAGTGCAAAGTGGAAGCTTCCCAGAAACTAGGTGAATTAATAGTAAGAGTTTAGCATTCTCAAAAAATCAGAACATTTTTAAATGCTAGCTTACACACGCAAGGTCAGAAAACATATTCCCTCTTGATGCTAGAATAAACCATGGCTTTAATGACCCCACCCACCAAAAAATCCTGGTCTTGGCATACATTTACACACTTCTGTTAGAACAACAAGTATTCCCAGGGGCAGGGAACAGAGCAGGTACATAGGGGGGCATGGTTTGTTTTGTTTGCTGTTTCTGCATGCTCACAGAACAACAAAGCGCTGACCAGTCTAGCAGACCAACAGGGAAGTGTCAAGGGAGGAGACTACATGGGGTGGCACAGAGGCAAGACGGGATGGTGAGGGAAAACATTAACTGGTGCAATGGAAATAAAATCACATTGTAATGAAGTCAACAACTTCCACTGAAAAGGAAACCACAAAAGTCCCTCCGTGAGCATTCTGGAACCGTCTGGAGGGTCTGAACTCAGGTAATGACAGCAATATCTGCAGCCCAGCTCCCAGACCCCTGCTCTCTGCTTAACCACAACCCAGCCTCCGAGGTAAGAGAGAAAAGGCAAGTCCACATAATGCCACCACACAGGGCAATTCAAAGGTGTAAGTTCTACCCCTGGATTTTGTTAGTTCAGAAGTATTGCCCTTTAAATAAAGGTGCTGATGTTACTGCTGCTATAGCAATAAAACAAAAGAACACAAAATTAATATCAACTAGCAGAATAACGAGTCTTCTATGTCCTCAAAATGGAATTAGAAAAAGCAGAGCAAGCATAAATGAAATTAAGACTTATGTAAGTGGTTCCTCATTTTTTGTACTCTGCTGGCTTTAACTTCCCTAAAGAGACAGGGTTGATTTCCAGTGTTATACTACTTTTATACTGCCTTTTTAAAGAGTTATTAGGAACAGCACTCAGAAACTGCATAAAAGAGACTTTTTCCCCCTCTTCTTCTAGTTCTGATTGATCCCTGGTAAGTGCTGTAACAGTTCTATGGTATTCTCTATAATGGACAGTTCTGCTGCTTAGGTTAGAAGAAAAACTCTTGAGGAAAATACAAAAATATGATTAGAAAAACACAGATACTGACAAAAGTCAACACTTATTTTTTTTTTCCTTTTTAAACAGACTAGGATTTCATATTGGCAGTGACCACTGATAGTGGTATTGGCACCTCCACATTAACCTTGCATCTGTTGTAAATTGTTGAGGCATCTGCTTCCTTCCAAGAAAACAAGATTCACTGCATTTTTGGTTTGGAAGCCAAATTAAAACCAGACTGGGCACAGGACATATCATTATTAATTATATAACTCATTTTAACAGTCACCAGTGATTTTTCCACTTGAGTTTTGTAGTTTTTCTTTCCAAATGCAACATAAGATGCTAAACTAAAACTTCATAAGGAAATGACTAAACCATACTGCCTCTCTAGACACGTTCTGATATCAAAGATTTCAGGGAGGAACTGTACAAGAATCTATTCACTCACTTATGTTTCCAGGATCAATTACAATGTGAATTACTTCTTCACATGAAGTAGTTCCTTCTCAGGCACTTCTTCCTCAAGCTGGTACAAAAAACGAGTATGATCCAGTTTCCTCAGAAATAAACAAATTATTACCCTGGCTTTTGGAGGAGTTAACAGCTCCTTTTTTATCAGCAAAGCCAGGAAGGACCTGCTTGACAATTTGGTTGAATACTCTAAAGTACTTCAAATCCCTCGTGGTCACCTTAACTGCAAGGTGTCTGGCTGAGTGGAGTTCTGCCTGTGAACAAAACCAGCAGCGTGGAGACAATATTCAGAGCAAATGATATCACTTGGTGTCCAAAGCCAGACACCCGTTACACTGCACTGGCTGCTGGCTCCCTGCACGACCTTTCCAAAAGCTGCTTCACCAATCTTCTTCTGTACAGATCAAATGTTCTTCTGTGTAGAGGACAGCTTCCCCTCTATGTCCTCCTGACTTATTTGATAACATCATAATTCAGTATTTGTACCACAACTGCTCATGCTCCTGAGCAAAATTTAGATGCTTTTTGATTTGCTAGAATTGAGAAAAGGAGATCTTATAAAACTTAATATGCTAAGAGCAAAATTAACACTATCATCTGGCTTTACTGAATATAAAAGAGGTCATATCAACTACATCAGCTGAAACAAATGTCAAACACTCATTTTTCATCTGATAAATTAACAGGATTTAGGGGTGGATCTTGGTTTATTTTTGCCCGGTTCAAATTATTTTATTTTTGAAGGCCACATGGCACTTCCATGATAATTTAGTCTGATTATTTGTGTAGCACAAATTGCCAAGGACCTCTGAGATGTGAACTTGACTTTTCAAATCAGACAGAGCAAGCTGCCAGAGCTTTGCAGTCTCTCCTACTCCTTATTTCTACATGAGCAAACCGGCCTGAATTTGGACCTGTGGAAAAAGAAACGATGATCTGAACACTGGCCTCCAACCCTGTGGGCTAGTCAGTCAGGAAAAGTATTTACATACAAACATCCTGGTAGCTAACAAAGGAAGGAAATGAAATACAAAGAGAACATAGTGAAAGGTTTAAACGAAGATTTAGCAACAGCCTTCCCTTGCATATTTTTAATGAACATATCAGCAGAAATTTGAGGGATTTCAGAGAAGACTCTAGGAAATTGTTTCACCTTTCACAGAAACCACTTAAAACCAATATGGTATGTAGGATTTGTGAGACTTGCTTGGACTTCCTATAGGTAATACAGAAAATAATTGGCTTTCTTCAGGAAATATTAAAGGCCTTTAGTCATAATTGCTTATACAGCCAAATACTCAGTAAGAATTTGTACATTTGAAATACAAACTTGTGAGTGCCCAGGGAACTACAAACCAGTATTTTCAGGTCAAATGAGACATATTCTGCTCAATGAATGGCATTACTGGAGCACTAGGTTGCAACACCAACCTTCCCCCTCAGCAGTGCCTTACTCTCCAAAGTGTCTCAGTGCCACTGGGTGTGAGGACAGCTGCCAGACGCCCACCCGCCGTAGGGGTGCCACCAAGCCAGCCACCACCGAGCACATCCTCCAGCTCTGCTGCTGCAGAACCACAACTAAGAGACTGTCTCCCCCCATAAATGCCACTGAGAAAAGATGCTCTGAGCCCAATTGCAACCAAGGGAAGGAGGCACAGTTACAGAATCTGCCTTTGGACAGCTTAGAAACTTCCCGCTTCCCCAGTGAAAAGCACCAGACATGGGACTACCTGAGGTTCTGAAGGTCCCATTAAGTGGCAATTCTCCATGATAAAGAACTGAAAACCACTTTGTATAAAACTGTTTTTTCTAATGTACTGTCTGTAACCAAATGAGACAAAATACTGTTTACAGCACTGTTCTCAATTCTCTGTAACTAACCACTGAAGTTCCCCACTGAAATCATCTCTACTTTTATACAGCTCCAGCCCTCAGCCCTAAATGTCAGTGCAGTCCCTGGAGCAGAATTTGGGCTTTTTAAAGTAGACACTTCCTCACTGTTAATCTGCTCTAAAAAAGCATTTTAAAATACTGAACACTTGTGTCTCCTTCCTGTAATTTTTATAGGAGGAAATAATTCTAAGGGCCTTAACCCAAGAGTCAAAGCCATGGTAGGCCAGCAATTTTTCAGCACAACTGTGCCACATGCTAACTTCTGGGAAGATGAAATTGTCTTTTTCTTTGAAAATTGGAAAATTATCTCAGGGACTTGTTATTTTACTTACTGCTTATGAAGACCACCAGTGAGAGCATTTAAATCCACATAAACACTTCAGCATCTGCTTACCAATACAGCCACAACTGCTGTCAGGAAGAGAGAAGCTGAACTGGGAAAACTCAGGCCATGTTTCCTACCCTATCAGCAGCAAAGGAGACCAGGACACTGAACTTACAACAGTGGAGATGGGTCACAAAATGTTGATCCAGTTTGATCCAGACCAAGGTGAATCCCCAAGGTCAGCCACAGAGGCTTCCCACTTCTTTGCACCCTACAATGCACAAACCAACCTCTACCACACTGCACTTCAGCTGCTCTCTGAGGTTTCCCCTCAAACCCTAATGCCCCAGAATCCCTCATCTAAGTTTTGGAGCTTGCATACTAGTCTGATAAAGCTTTTGCACACAGAGTATGACTTCAAGCTGTGTGCATCATATCACTGAGAAGTGAAAGTCAGTTCAGAAATTTGCAGTCTATGGACTCATATATGTAGGGAAGGCTGCAAGGACCAAACATGGAACTAGAAATTTTTATTCCTGGCTTTGCTGTGATTCATCACGAAGTTTAGCAAATTCAGTTAATGTCTTTCCTCCACAGTTTGCAAGATTTGCAGCTATTACTGCCTATTACAAGTCTGATGAAGCTTTTGCACACAGAGTATGACTTTAAGCTGTGTGCGTCCTATCACTGAGAAGTGAAAGTCAGTTCAGAAATTTGCAGTCTATGGACTCATATATGTAGGGAAGGCTGCAAGGACCAAACATGGAACTAGAAATTTTTATTCCTGGCTTTGCTGTGATTCATCATGTAGTTTAGCAAACTCAGTATCTTTCCTCCACAGTTTGAAAGATTTGCAGCTATTACTGGCTATTACAAATACTTTTTCCACTCAATATTTTCCAAAAGGTATTTCATTGTCATTTAAATTGTCAAGAATTAAAACTGTGAAAAACATTTAAAATTAGAAAAAAGCTAAAGAGCACGGCAGGATTTTAAATTTTTCTATGGACACTTTAAAAAACTGTTTAACCCACATCATCTCTCAAGGAGGCCCAAAGGCAGATCTGATAAACTTGTTGGGAACCAGGATTTCTTGGGCTCTTTACAAGAATCAAATCAAACTTGCCTATCTTATTGAAACTTCAAGATATATGATGTGGTTAAGGTCCTTGAGCAGTGTCAGTCCCAAATATTTAGAGACAACTGCAACTGAGGTAGCTGCAGGAAGCATTAAATTTGGTCGCCCCCCAGCCTCCACTCACATGGCAGCCCTGGCTTAAAGCACACATCTACCCTAACAACCTCATGACCAACTTGAATCCACTCATCTTTCAGACCTCACCTGTTCCTTACCTCAGACTCAGGCTTGCTAAGCAAGCTAATGCTGCAGCACCTGGAGCAGGAGCTGAGGCCAAGCCTCTGGAACAGAAGCTGCACACAGAGCATGCTTGGCCAGGAACTACAGGGAAGTCATCTTCCCACTACTGCTGCAAGAGGTGTCAGATGATTTCAGGAAATGCTTCAACTTGCACCAACTGAAATCAGAAGAGCGAATTTCTAGAATCCCTCCTAATCTACTCACCTCCTCCTGACAGACATTGAGCTGAATCCACCCTGCAGAGAGGAAAACCTCTCACACGAAGGTAGACAAAGTAGAGCATCAGGGTCAGAGTGAACCTCTGAATGCTGCTCCTCCAAACCTACCCTGCCACAGACATACACAGGGCTACTAAATTAGTGACTGACTTCTACATGAGTATTACTTGATGTCCAGCTCTTCCTTCCATAATCTGGACAATCCCTCCTCCCCAAAAAGCCTCAAAGGGGTATTTCCATCAGCGACTGTACTTTTTGTGGTTTCGTTTTGGGGTTTTGGACTACAAATGGCTTTATAGGTTGGGATTCCTTGAATTTGTCTGCATGTTATGATAAAACACAATGGATTTGTTCACAAAACAAAACGAGTTTTTACATAACAGAACGTGCAATAAAAGCGCAAGAAAAAGAAAAGAGAAAGAAAGAGAGAGAGGTATCCAGAGGAGAACTTACCCCGCGCTTTAGGCTCCTGAAGCAGTGGATTTTGGGTTTGGAGGTCATGAACTCGTTGAAGCGATGGGAGAGGGGTTCCTTTTGCTGCTTGGGAGACTGGGGGCCGTTGGGAACAGCAGAGGGTGAGGCAGAGGCAGGGGGAGGAGGAGGGGGCTGATGGGGGGATGTTAAAAGGGACATAAGCTACGTATAAGAGATGGAGAAGTGACAGAATAAAAACCAAAATAAAAAGATAAAACACAAAACGAAAATAAGCATCAAAACCAATATTTGAAATCCAGAGAAAAAAAACAATTAAATAATTAAATATTAAAGGCCATGGTTCAATAGAGGGGGGGAAAAGCAGTATTTAAGAGTTGTGTTAAATGAAGAATGTGATAAATGGAAATTTAATAAGTGATGCAACAGAAGAGTAATGCAAAAGTATTTTGACAGGAAGCTCATGCAGACTCTTCCATGCAGCACTATCCCCATAAATTGCCCTGTTCTGCTCTGTGGACAGCTCGGAATAATGCATATGGATAGAGCTTTCAAATACCTGAATTTAAATGGATCAGATAAGGAAGGTACCTTAGTGCCCAGTAGCGTTTCTATTATCTGGAAAACAACAAACCACATTCCTTCCTGCTTTCAAATCCCACCTCAGTATAACGTGCATCACACTTCACTTTCACAAATGAATTTGCTCAGGAGTTAGTCCTGGGTTTTGCTTCCTGACTACACTGATGTAAGCACCAGACAGCCAAGTTCTCTCTTACACCAGCACAACAGGAATGACCCATTTTAAAAGGTAGGGTATTTTTTTGACTCTGCAATTAGCAGCAGGGTTTGGTAAGGGTCAGAGCAAGGTTGAGATCAAAACAACGAAGCTACTCTGGGCTTCCATCAGTGTCACTTGAAAACCAACTCAGTCCGGTCACCCTGACACGTCCTGGTAACCCCAGATAAAGGCTGCCATGCATTATGGTGTAAAATGTGACAGTGGAATGAAAAAGGTTTAATGGATACATAAGTTAATACGGTCTTTTAAAAAGTCAACTGCTCAGTTAGTTATGCTCCATTAGTTGTGCTTAAGAAGAATGAACTGCAGCAACTCCTTGTTCCCAGCCACGCAACTGCTCAACCCAGTGCACAGACTGAAAAGATAACGCAAATGAAAAGCCAAGGAGAGTTTTAGAAGTGTCAAAACAGTAATGCCACATTAAAGCTTCCCAAAAGTAACAATGTTAGTTCGCACACATGGCACTAGGTAAGTGGTATACAACTCCTTCTGAGTTAGGAACAGAAATGGACCATGGCAGAGACGTGACAACTAAAGTTAAATTAACATTAATACTGCAACATAATTAAAGAAATTATACAAGGAAAAAAATTTAAAGCTATAAAGAAACTTAAGTAACCAAAGACTACAACACAACACCGTAGTAAGACATCAGTTATTAACTTTCTGAAACTAAAATACTCTTTAAAATATCACAATTGCCAGGATTACTAGACAAGGCAGAGGTTACTGACTACGCACATACTAGCACTAAGCTCAAGTCTGCAAATCAGTACCTTATTTTTCTTGATGAATGGCCATAACTTGCCCTTGGATTTGCCACCGAACTTCGGCTCAGACTTGCCCTCCCCTCTGGAGTTGGAAAGGCTGGATTCTGAGACAGCTCGCTTCATGGGCTGCGTGAAATCCTCAAAGTCGATATCTCCTGGAGGCTCGAACCCCGATTTAAAGGCTTCTATTACCATCTGTGAATCCTGGAATGGGACAGATACAGTACAAGTGTAAACATCTCAGGTCAGGGCTCTCATCAGGTTGGTGGCAGAGAAAAAAAAAAGTAGCACAAGGACAAGAAAGTTCATCTGTGTGAGAATCAGCTCTTACAGGGACCGGCCTCATTCCCAGGAACAAACTCCCTTCCAGAGACTGGGCTCAATACAAGGCTCTCCACCTTCTGCTCCACTTTTCTTGGACCTGTTTTCCCTATCATGATGTGTATTCAAAAATCCACCTACACACAGCACAGTGTCCTACCAAAACAAGAGAGCCCAATCTGTAACACTTAATACTCCCAGATACTAAAGTGATAAATGCAGTTAAGCAACACAGCAACCACCACCCCACATGGAGCAAAATGTTTCCATTTATGTCAGACAGAATTTATTACAACTGGGAACATAAACAGCCACAATCTCCGTTTCATAACAGAGCTATAAATGAACAATCAATCTATGGAAATAAAGCTGGTAAGCTTTAGTCCCAAATAGTCCATTATTCCTGTTATGAAACTCTAGCCCCTTTGCAGAGGTATCACTGAGACCAGTCATTATCAAGATCCTGACAGATAAAAAGAGGACTGATCATAGTCAGGAAAATAAAAAATACATAACTGTTAAAGTGTAGGTCACTGTAATCAACTAAAGATGATGCTTTGGAAGAGTAAATTGAGGTCTCCTCTCTCCAGCCTTCCACTGAGCTGCACAACCCCATCTGACCACAGCCTACTAATGTTTCCATTCCCTTTGTTTCCTTTCCAGCACAAAAATCACAATTCTGACACAAACATCCTTCAAAGGCTTCTTCATGTCTACTAGTGAAAATGACTAAGAGCTGATTATTGTTAACTTACAGACTAGGAAAGCAAATATACTTCAGTAACTGAACAAGTAACTTAAGTGCCTCGTAACACCAATTTAAGGTATGGGATTGCTGGGCATGCAGCTGTAAGCACACTAGTGGACAATCCCAACAAATCCTCCTGGCTGAAGAAACTGAGGGATCACAGTGCCAGGAGCTGAGAATCTGGTGCTTGTGAGCTCAGCTACAGTAAATGGCAGGAGTTCCTCTCAGGATTCCCTACCAACTGAGCAGCCCAAGGTCACCTTGGTGCAGGCAGTGGCTGGGAACTCCACATGTGTCACTAAAGCCACATTCCCTTTTGGCACTAGCTACTACATGCCAGTCAGCTGTATGCTGCCTCTATACTGTGTGCAATGGTGCTGCTCTTGTTTTTGACAAAGGCAAAATTAAAAAAAAAAGTAATCAAAGCAAGAACAATACACAGCATTTGTCCTGGTCAGGTTCACAAACAAAATTAATTACACAACAAACTCAAATTCAGACCTCAGGTTGCCAAATGTATTTAAATCTAATGGACTCAAAAAAATCATTTTAACACACTTCTCATCTACTTGAGATCTTGGCAAGAGAGTTTTTGTTATATTGCTCCAACAGTTTTCTTCTAAGATCATCAGAGAAACTGTGCTGCAGCACACAAATATCCTATCAGCCTCTAGAGAGGAGCACCACCATCCTGTTCAGATAAAAAAGATTAACTTGTTGCTTTGAAGGAACTTCACAGATTCTGCTTATGTCCGTAGGTAAAACACTATTCATGGCATGTCTAGTGGGATATAAACATATCCAGAGGCCAGGCTCCATTGAGCAAAACAGCTACTGGAAAAGCTCTGCATAAATCTTCATGGGATTGTGAAGAAAAATTAAGATTTAAGATCTTTAACCTATCAGATGCAGTGTGAAATTCCTATACAACTTTTAGGGAGGTAGAACACCACTTCCCATTATTTCATCCTAGCTTGATATTAAAACTTTGAGATCTAAACTTTTGAAGAGATCTTTAATAATAGTCATGAAATCAAGATGGAAAAGGAATAAAGAAGAGACTACAAACACACAAGGTTACATTAAATACTCTAATGGTATTTTAACCTATGCATAGGGCTTTTCATTTTTTCCTCCTAGCTTTACAGTGTTCCTTCCATTTAGTCAAAACATCCTTCCACTACAATGGAACTAAAAATAACCAGCATGCTCCATATATCACAGAGATAATGTCATAACAGGAACTATGAATTCCATAACAAATTAATTTTATCTGGTGCTAGAGCCTTCTGAAGCAAGTTCTGCATAGGTTCACCCATCAGTCACTCCAGCTTACCCTTGCAACATGACCTCTGTGGTGTCAGAGTTGTTAAAAAACAACAAAGCTAAAAACTGATTCTCAAAAAACTCCGGGATACCTACATGAAGTGCAAAGTTCTGCTGCTTTTATTGTGTTTTTCCTTTCTAAACAGTAATGCCTTACTGGTAATATTATAGTGACAAAAAAAAAAAAAAAAAAAGAGGCAGACCTTGCAGATTCTTCCATCCTTTCAGCTAAAGTTGAAGTTACTGCACAAAGAGCAAAGCTTTCACAACCTCTCCTCTTCTTCAGTTACTCTGTATGTGATAGCTGGGCAGAAGTGTGAAGAAAACCGAAGGACACCAAGAGCTAAGTAAGAACTCCAAATGCATCACTGCTGTCTGTCAGTGTCATGCTGTCTGGCCATATACATTTAAAGCTGGGTGATATTGTACTTTTTTTTATTATTACCAGATTGTGGAGACCTCCTCCCAGCTGGGACATATGTGTCTGTGTGGGCCCAGAATTCCACACAGAGCTTTTCCTCCTCAGCAGCCTCTTGGTTTTGCTCACCATTGTAGTACCTATGTGATCACCAGCTGTCCTTGCATTCCACTTCCCTGGAATCTGACCTCATTTTCAAGGTTCACTACAGCACAGATCTACTTGACTTTCCTATCCAAAGTTTCTCAAGCTGAAAAAAAGATGAGTGAAGGAGACAACCTTCAATTTGACTCTTTTGGAAAAGGAGAAACTCTCCTGATGACAGCCTAAGAGAGGCCAAACTTGCTTCTCAGAATGTAAATGGGTGAGATGGGAAAGGTCTGGTGTAACACTGCTTTAGTGGCAAAACCAACACATTACCTGCAAATAGAGAAAACACAGCTTTTAAATTGCCACTGTGTGCACTTGCAGCCATCCCTATAAAGTAGAAGGATCTGCATGCAACAGAAGGGAAGGAACAAGTATATCACTTAGAAGAATCAAGAAAATTAGAAACTACTGTTCTGGAGATGGAAAAAATCCTTGATGATGTTTAAGAAAAAATAATGCTTTATGGATATAACTTTTTCAGACAGAACATGCTAAACTCTTTGTAATTGTTTAGATATAACAAATTGGGTTAAATACACTTTTGTTAGCATGGTGTTTACATGAGATTCCTTAGCCAAAGCTCAAAGTCACCATCTTCTAATGTCATCCCTGTCCACATGAGCCAGTCTGACTTATCTGTGTGTAAGAGAAACTAACTTGACTATAAAATTCTCAGCTGTTTCAAAGATCAAGCTTAAGCCTTGTGTGTTTTGCTAAGACCTCACTTGAAGATTCAAGCTTAGATATGAACCTCCCCAAGGTGAGTTCACCATGCAGCACCACAAGCTGTTCATCAGGAAGGGTACATTGTTCTTCTGTGCCCTGACTCCCCATTCTCCCACCCCCCAAGAGTAATGTTCAGATTCCTCGTTTCCTACACTGCTCTCTGTGAGAGCCCTTACTGAGCAGAAAGTAGTGGATTCATTTCAAAACTTCAGCCTCAGGCTTATGCTGCCAATTAGTGTCAGTCTCCAGACTCCGGGCACTGAATAGCCCAGAAAAGATTCCAGTGAAAAAGACGAATGGGAAATTCAAACAGCCACCAAGACACATGCTGTTTGTATTTGAAGCACTAATGTGATCCATGAGAAGGGCTGAAAGAGCAAGCAGAGACTTCATTTAGAAGAGAGCAGATCATTCTGAAAACAAAATAGGAAACACATTTGCCCTTGTGCTAACTGTACATCCGGAAGCTCATCTGAACTCTTTATCAGCCTTTTTAATGGGAAGGCTTCTTTTTAATCCTAAAACAATGTTCAGAAATCAAGATTTACAAGAGCTCAGTTACAGATTGCTAGCAAACCTCACATCTGCAGAGAAAGATTTTACAGTAAAGTAGAAATTTTGCCAGTTGTTTACAATCGTTTATGTAGCAAATACTTTAAATACTTCCTTTATTATAAATAAACTAACTGGAATGAAGGCATTTCTGCAACATTCAGTTTTCTGACTATTAGACATAGAACCCATCTGAGTAAGAACTGGAGATTATTAGGCATCTGGAATTATGCCCACCATCTTCCATAGTCTACATGGAAGCCTGTTTTTCAGTTACAGCATTTTAAAAAGTACTTCTCATAGTATCATATTCCTAAAAGGATAAAAAAATTGAAGGGAAAAAAACCCGTGGCATTTCTGAGTAGATTTGGGAAATAACCTGAGCACATCCTGCCTCAGACAAAGTAGCTTGTGACAAGAAGCTGTTCTTTTAGTTCTGTGACTATAAAGCTCATGTGCTGCAGCCTAGACCCAGGATCTCAGTCTCCATATGTAAGTGACCAACACTAAAGGTGACAAACAACAATCCAAACAGTGCAACACTTACATTCTTGTGATCCACTGATTCTGCAGCCTTCGTTATTTCATCCAGACACTTCCCAATGATGGGGATCACTTGGCGGTCGACCTCTGCGAAAGTTTTCATGGATTCACCTATCCTCACGATTCTTCTTTCCTCCATCTCTTGTATTTTCTAAAACATTACATTTCATCCAGATCAAATATGAACATTAACTCCACTGTTTCAACCATTTTTTCTCCCCAGCATACATCAGCTGCTTTAATTAAATATATTTTTAAGAAGAAATTAGGACAGCTGTTCTCATGAAGGCACCAAGTGATATTGTTCCCTTGAACATCAAAATACCATTATAAAAGTTATCTCTATTACTATTAACTACCATTTTTTCGGTTCACTTTTTATGTTAAAAAATGCTGATTTGTCAAACTTCAGCTTTCGAGTTCTCTAAGGATGGCTCCCCTAAGGCTTTTAGGGGAATTTCTGTAACAATAAATTCTTTGATTTTCTGTGCAAGCTCTTTCAGATATTATTGTTCCACTGAAGAATCCAAAACCAAAAGTCTTCATGTCTCCCTTTCTCCTACGCCCTAGAAGGTAATTTTTGGCTTACAGGCAGTCCTGTACATCAGGTACTGTTCACATCAGTGATTCTCAACATATTCTCCCTGTTGCTCAATGGATTCAGTGCCACAACATCCAGCATCTCTTCCATGGATCTCCCATTTACAACAGAGGCAAACTGGATGTGGCATAACGCTGCTACAGGAGATTACAACAGGACAAAAGGGCATGAAGAGGAATGGCCTGTTTCACATCAGACTGCAGGAACCTTCTGGGGCACTGTCAACTTAAAATACCCCAATGCCTTGGACTGATCCATAAGCAACAAATTCTTTAGAAAACAACTTATTTCAACATCTAAAAGAATGCACTAGAGCTTCCTGGTAGAGAAAAGGACACATCTGCAGTACTTTAAGCTTGCTCACCTACAAACCAGAGCACTTACCAGATCTAGTGGTAAACACAAGTATATTGCAAAAACTTTTTATCTGATGCCAGGAATAATTTATCTTGAAGACATTGGTTTGAAATACCACAAAGCAAAAGAGCAGATGTCCATTTAGCTAAGAAATTGCAGCTATGGATAAGAAAATGTGTATTTGCTATGTAAATATCAGTTATTTCTCATCAGATGATAAGCATGTGACATTTCCTTCCTTCAAGAGGTTGTATTTTCCACTTCTGATGCTTACGACCCATTACAATGGAAGTTATTTAGAACTTCTCTTTACTACATTAATCTTTGTTCAGTGAAGCACAAACTCAGATCTTCACTCAGTAAAAATGTGATAGCTTTTTTGTTCTCTCTCTACAGTCTTTCTTTAGACACCTTAAGCCATAATCAGCAAGCTCACTTAAACCCTCTGACATTCACTACTGCAGAGTTGTTGTGGTTTAAATTTAAACACCTCTGATGGCTGATTTGAAGGTAGGTTATGAAGGGCTGTGAGGCTTTACAGATGTAATGATGCCCAGCTGACTCCTGCCCCAACAATGCAAATAATGTTCTCATTCCCCAGCTGCATGGGCATGAGTTTAACACAGCAAGACTGAGGACTCCAAAGACTATCATAATCTGCCATGACAATTCAATGTCACCTTCTTCAGATGCTATTGATTGCTTGATACCCACTCTAAGAGAGAGGGACAATTTATCCTACCAAGCTCTCTATCTCTTGGGTTGACAAACTGCATATTAAATTTGCTAACAGCAACTAAAAGAACACCAAAAGACAGAGTCATAGAACTGAGTGATGTGCAATACACCTCTCTGCTCTTAGGACAGGATTATGAGCTACTCTAGTGCCAGCGACCCTTACCTGGAAGATGGTTGGTATGTGTGTGTAGTAATGATCATGCTGCTCACTGTTGAACTTCTGTAAAGTGGAAGAATACTCTGCTTTGCTGTCTTCTGCCATTTGATGTCGCAGCTGGGCTTGCTGTCTTGCCTAAAGAAATGTCAAAAGAAATGTATAATTTATACTACATGGAAATCAATCATATTGTGTTACTCATCATCTCACTGCCCTTACCAGTAGGCAGCACAGGCACATTAGCATGAGTCCCACAACACTTCAGCTGTTGATTTACTCCTGGTTTGTGAAATGGTTCATCTACGCCAGGTGTAAGCCAGCAGTGTGCACAGTGCTGCTGTTGTTGGGTTACGACATGCTGTTCCCATGAACCATTTCACTTTTCATGAACAAGCTCTGTTCATACTGTGTGCAAAACACCAAAACAACTTTGCTCCTCTCCCAGCCCCCTCAACAGGCACACGTGTTTTCTGTATGCTTGTGGACACTCTTCTTGCCCCACTGTGTGCCCTGTGGAATGGCACCTGCTTTCTTCTTATAAACTGCAGGCCAGCAGTATTTTTGAGGGAAAGGGAAGTGACAAAAAAAAAAAAAAATTCTTAACTCGTGCTCCCTCTGTGCTCTCTGCAATGTCCTTTAACTACACCTTATTTAATTGAACAGCACTGGCATGAAGTGCAAAAGGAAAGGGGAGCCTAAGTAGCAGCTGAGACAATTCCCTTCCTATTTTTACCCACACAGATGATTTGCTTTGCTACTCAGCACAGCAGAGCACTGGGCAATTAACCTCACTCCTTTCCCTAGAACAATCTGTTCCTGAGTGACCCTTTAGATTTTCCAATTCCACCCCCCACAATTCTGTTTCCCGAGACTTCTGTTATCTGTTTCAATGCCCAATATTATTCTCTTACTGTCTATCACATCTGCTATTTTTGTTGTCTTTTCCTTCCTTGCTGTTGGCCTTCACACAGCAGCTCTTCCCCCTCTTCCCTTCCCACCCAGCTCCCTACACTCCCACACCTTTGCTCCCTGTCCTGCATCCAGTTTTAGAAGCTCCCCTCGCTCCCACTTGGCATTCACCCGTCTGGAGCTCTGCTGCTCACCCTGTTCCCAGGCAGCCCCTCTTCACCTTGTGCACTCCCATCCATGTCAGAAGGACCAAATCCTTCCTCAGGATTGATCAGAGCTGAGATCAGGATCAGTGAGCCCAGGATCCAGCTTTGTAAACCTAAGCTATCCCGAGTTTGCACTCATGGAGCCCCCTCACCCTCCACTGCCTGCCCAGCCCTGAACAGTGCCACAACGGTCCAGCAAGTATTATGTTCCAATCACTTCCTCAATTTTAGAATAACCCTTTTAATAAAGGAGAAAGAAAGACTGCTTTTAAAATTATTTAAAGGATTTTTTAGGTGTTTCAGTGGAAATAGCATAACAATTCATTTTAGCATATTCTGAGTGAGCTCCCATTTAAAACAGCTCAGAATGGGATTATGCTTTGAACTGTTCCAGGCAGACGAGTTTCCTGACAATAAATCTGAAAATCTATGAAATAACAAATCATGGAACATTTTAGTAATCATAACTGGATGTAAAATTCTGCCAGAAGGTTTCAAATCTCAATTTGCAAAGAAATAGGCTTCCCCCATTTGTCCAGCTTGCACGTAACACCTAATAATTTATTTCACCTCAATTCAGCTATTTGGTTTGCAAGCTAAGTCAATTCTAGGAATTTCCTATATCCCCTTCACATTCTTTCTACACAAATAATTCAAGCACAATGAGAAATCGTGGGGCACTGAGTGCATGACTGGAGATGAAACAGTAGCATCAAATGGAAAAGATTGCAACTAAAACCAAATAAATAAATCCAGTAAAAAACTTCCAACTTTGCTTGTTCCCCAGGAGTTTCAGCCATTCAACTCCTGTAAAGGATGCACACTGAACTGCAGAAAATTTACCTGCTGCAGTCAAATTTCAAGAAGCCCTCAATTTTTCTGCCCTTGTGCTATGTAGCTACATAGTTACATTTTAACATCCTCATATATAGCCAACTTAATCATCCGCATCTTTAGCTTTATCACACACACACAGCTACATTAAATATGAGTTGAAAACAATACAGCCTTGTACTAGAAACACAAATTTATTAGCAAAACAAAGTTGGCCATGGAAAGGCAACAGCTGTAAGAGTAGCACAGGCTTATCTCCCAGCCCCTTCCTCACGGGCCAGCTGCTGCAGATCAATATCCATTTGTGAGGCCCATTCTCCTCATCTACCTAAGAGCAACCCATTGTTTGAGCTGGCTTCTACAACAGCCCCAGTCCCACTCATACAGCTGTCTTTTTTTTTTATAATTTTAAGTAGTGCAACTCAAGAATTTGTCCCCTGACTCTATTGTTGAGGCAGAAAAACAAGAAATCCATTATTACACATTTCCAGGCAGATTCAGCACACATGAAGCCATCAGAGTTCATTTTCACAGGCAAGCTCATTGGCTGGATATGAGCAAAGTAACTCTGAGCTAAATGTGTACAAGAGTAAATGCTCAGTTTCCAAAATGATCTTAACTGGCCCCAAATAAGAGGAGGCAGCAGATGAGTAAGTAAAATTGGGTAAATTCCAAACCCAAGAATTTTTGTATGAGAGCCCCAATGACGTTTTGTTTCTCCTGGCCATTTAATGCATTTGGCAAGCTTCAAACAGTTTAAATATTTTTCCAATGAGATATTTGGATCTTAAAATAAAAATATTTTTTCTAAAAAGTCTAGAAATTTCTTATTACTTCATTTGAGTATGTCACTTACTCTAACATCATCACTTCTAGTACTAAAAGAATTATACTTTATAGCTAGCACTCTGCTAAAGCACAGAATGACAAAAATGAGTTGATGGCATTAAGTTTCACAGAGTACTGGATGCAGTGGCCTGGAGCTGCATGGAGTCAGAGGAGCTATTTCAGGAGTAATTTATTGTTGAGCTTTACAGAAAATACATTTTTGCTTTTACGGCTCACTTGTGCACGCAAATAGCTTCAAAGAAGGTTTGGGGTGGGTTTTTTTTTTCAGATTCTTAGAGTTAATGTTAAAATATTTGCTCTCAACAGTATTTTCCAGAGGAAATGCTTTGGAATACCTGTTCCCTGGAAAACCAGACCATGACTTCAAATACAAGCAGATGATACTGTGATGCAGCTTTCTGTCAACATACTCTCTCCTTTCACTGCAGGGCAGGGATGACTGAGCAAGAGCTCACATTTCCAGCACCACATGTGAAACCACAATGCAGATCTTCTGCAGACTGCCAGGTTACTCAGTTGTAAGCAATGTCAATGCTAGGTACTTGTAACGCAACAAAAACTCTCCCCTCTCAAAAGAAAGAAAGAATGAGGTTGCTTTTCGACACCACGAAAAAGCAGAAGCGTGTATGTACATTGGAGGCACTTGTGGAGAGAAGAAAATCAGGTCACTTCCAAACACATGCCTCTCTACTCACTTGCAAAAGACACACTGATTTTGCACACTCCCCCAGCCCCAGAATAACCCTTTGTAACATCTTTTCTGTCCCCAAACAAACATGCCCAGCATATAAGCATGTATCTCCATAGTCTGGTTTTGTTAAGGCAGTTCTCTGAGCTCATATGGCAGCAGCAAACCCAAAGGTCATGTATGCCCATGCACATCTCATCGTGAACTCCCAAGAAGGAATGACAGCCCAGTATCACCAGTAACCTTGCAACCAGCACAGAGGTAAATTCCTGGTTTCTAGGGCCAGGGTGATCACATTTAAACACAATTACACCAGAGGAGTGTTAACTCCAACTGGTTCTCTACAACAGACTCTGAAAGAAAACTCTACATAAAGGAAGTGTAGCTCAGATACACTGAACTAGCCAAAAGCACACTAGCAGCAGGTAAGGCTTATTATGTTTGACCTCTTCTCTCACCCAGTCTACACAGAACTGCCATTAAACATAACCAAACCCAAGGTTTTTTCCTTCCTTTTGACGGCCTTGCTAGGTGAGGAGACAACACAGAGCAGTAGCTAACTGCAGGGCAGTACTAACTTTGAAAGGGGTGATTTTAAACAGTCAGTAGAACTATGTGTGTCTTCAGCACTTAAATCAGCAGCACTTCAATTATGCAAAAGCACCACTAGATTCAACAGCCACATGAACTGGCAACACACACTATGGCTTCTACCTCTTCTGTGAGGTAGCAGGAAGAAACTCAACATTATTCTGTCAAGATTATTTTAACCACATTTCCTGCAGATTTTCTACCTAACCATTGAGTTGCAAAAAATAAAACTTTCAAACACATCAAAAGAAGGTTTCAGATGTTTAAATGACTCCACCAGGAGTCCAGAAATGCCAGGTTTGAGCTGCTTGACAGATGCCAGGGTGGGGACATTGAGGCTCTAAAATCTTTCATAACTGAAGTACTTACAAAAGTATTTTTTAACCCTTTAAAGTAAGAAATTTGAAGAAGTTACTCTGCAACCCTGTTACTCTGAAGCAAATCATGCTAGGGAGATGTATCTAGTGTGAACCTACTCATCAGCCTCTTGAAAAACCCTGCAGTTTACCAATATGATCCAGCTTAAGTGATCACTACAAATCAGAATGAGACCAAAGAATTAGAAAGCCCTTGTAAACATGTACTACTAGTAAAGCTTTAGATACTGAACTGAAATCAATCCTAGTAGTGCATGCCTTTGAGCAGCAGTCAGAAAGGAAAGTTTAACAGAAAGACATATGGACATCTTTCTATTGGGCACTGTCTGTCCTGAAGGTGTGAGAAAAAGTTAGCAAGCTGCTGTGCATGCCTCTTAAAGAGAACTCAAAATAGAAATCCTTGTACAGTTGCATAAACTGGGTTTTTTTGGGGGGGGGAAAGTGTAATATGAAAGTCAACTGGTGAAATAGCAAAGGAGATCTTCTGAAAACCAAATACACTTTCTGCCATTTTGGTCTCCAGTACAGAAAAGAATGAAGGATATTTTGTTGAGAACAATTTTCTAAGACACATTCCAGAAACAGCAAGAGGGTCAATAGACACACTGTCTTCTGGGTTTACACAGACAAAAAATGCAGCTCCTCGAGGCTGTTATGGTGGGAGTGATATGAATAACTGAA